GAATTTTAAAAATCGATATTTTTTTCGTTATTATTTATCACATGATAATTTCCGGTAATTTATGTTAGGGGTGTGTACAGTATACTGTATATTGATTTAATTTTAATTACCATTTATTTACACGGCGTATCGCATTAAAAAAAAATAATTATTAAATACTATTTTTAAAAATTACTCGTTAGAATAAAAATACAATTAACACTTGTCAAACAATAATGACAATAAATCGATCTGCCTGTTGCATATTCTATATACAGTAATTTTTTCTTCCTTTGAGCCTTCTAAATATTGTGCAAAGTTGCAGTCGGGTTTAACTACTTCCTTTGGATCCTATATACAATTTCTTTAGTTCTCACCGTATTATTTTTTTCTTGTTCAGACAAGTATTACAGTATATGAAAGAGAAGAAAACAAATATAGATTTAATATATTTAATTCTCAAGAACGAGAAATACTGGAAATTTATTAACAGAATATTTTCGCCTTTATGTATCACAATTGATATATTCGCGCTCACACACATTAATAATTTTAAAAAGCAAATACGAGAATAGTTCTAACGGTAATCTCTAAACAGACTTCTAAACGGATCACGAGCAAAGCGAATAGAGCGATTTAGGCGTTGCACTTTCTCGAAAGAAAATGTTGTCGTAAACCGATATTTTAAATTACATGATGGAACTTAATGCTGTATAATAGTACATTTCTGGTGTCAATTTCGGGTACGCGTCAACTTTATTCAATACTAAGCAAAAAAAAAAAGAGTGCTACTTGAAAGGAATGCAAAAAGTCAAGAATTTAATGCTAGAGAAAATCAACTCTATTAATCGAACAAGATTAATGCTAAACTACAACCTACAATTGTGAAAGCTTATTGATCACACGCTCAGCCTGTGAAGGGTGACATTTGAAGAAAAAAAAAATGCAAAGTGAAAGTGAAATTAAATAAAGTACAAGTGGAAAAACAAAACTTTTTTTAAAAAAACAAATATACAGGATTCTAAATCTAAGAAAGGTTATTTACACATTGGATACCAGGAGAGGGTTTTTAAAGGAATTTTTAAGATTTCGAAGTAAAGGTTATTCTAGTTCGACGAAGAAGGAACAAGAAGTTCTCTTTGTGATTGAGGATTTAAGACTAGGTTTGTTTCCATAATATGGAACGATACGCTTTTCAAAAGGTACTGGTTTTAACCAGAAATCTAACGGGGACTTCCAAAAGTCGTCAAAGTCGTAGGATGATTCGCACTGAATTTTCTCGAATTTCGCGTTAAACTCTGAAAAGTTTTCTTGATCAGCGGTAATTTCAAACGAACACGATGAGGATTTGATTAAGAAAAAGTCGGTCCTTTTGTGGTACGAGGGAAGTTTAATTTCGTCATGGGAAACCTTTGGGAATGCTTCCTCTAAGGAGATTGAAAAGAAGTCGGCATGTTTGTTCAAGTTTATCTGGAAGGTGTCTTCGAAACCAGAGTCACGACGGATCATTTGGGGTGCGGTAGACATTTTTGAGAGAAGTGGAGAACAAAGTTGGATGTTTGGATTTTTTTTTTCGAGAGTTTGTTTGATTTGTTCTAAGTTGGATCGAATCGAATCGAATCGAATGAATTGAAGTGAAGTGAATCTGAGAACCTCTTGGACATCCAGCGTTGATGTATTTATAAGAAAATTTTTTCCCTTCAACCCGTTCATGTGCTTCCTATGTACCTTTGAATTTACACAAAAGGCAACCTTCCTACGGATTTCCTATATCACAATAATAATCAAGAATTTCTAAAAATGTATTATATTATTCCAATTAACTTTATTTCTAGAGATCTTTTGCATATAATCAAACACGTAATTTAAGTTTCTGATAACATAGTGTTAGTCTGTCGTATTGTATTTACCACTGATTTTCGCATTTCACTTACTGAACCTACAGAGTAAACCCTGCAGAAACTCTATACACCGTTTGGGCTGTTCTAGATAGAATATTAAATCAACGATGATGGGATGTCCATCCAAAAACTCGCTACATTTTTTATACAATACATCCATACCGGGAAAATCCCAAATGCTGTATTGTTCGATTACGTATTATATTTTAAAATCTGACGAATACTTTGCGGATGAACCGATTGCATATAAAAGAGTCGTATACATTGACAATACATAATACATCTGTATCACAGCATTTTGAAAGACTGTACTTGCGTGTACATACTGTAATAAATGCCTATATTACACGTTTTAGGTATATCACGTGACCAACTAGGATGTCCAACGAACGCGACGCGTACATATTAACGCGTAATAAGAGCCGAGTTTCGCTAATCGAGGTTGTGGGTTCTTATCTCTGCGACCAGAGCAAATGACAGACACTCCTCACAAAGTTAGGTATCAAATCTTATTGAAAAACGCTTTACGGTTAAAAAAACTGAATTCGTTATAACTAATCAAAGGATGTATTATCGGAATGCGAACAGGCAGCGTTGGAAGTTTTATCAACAATGTCAGAACGTCGGAAATTTTATGATATTATGTATTCGAGATAGCCGCTGCAATACGAATAGGTTATGTTATAGACCAAGACCGTCGTCGTATTGTTTTTTCTAACGTAATGGATCTGTACGATCAGTAAAAGAAAGCCTAATTATCAAAAAATTCCCGTTATGGTAGGTTGAAAAACGGATCGTTCAATATTTGTGAATTGTCAAATTCTTGTTATGTATTAATAATTATGAAGAAGTTGTTGGTTATCCGAATACAGTAACAGTTGGACCAATAATTATACCATAAGTCGCGGCTTAATAGTACCCGCGTGACGCAATTACGTATATGAAAAAAGAAATTAATTTATTATTTTAATGGTATTGTATTTTTATGATATCTGTAGTACTTTACACCGTGACTTACGGTATTTCTTATTTATTACGATATATACAGTACAGTAATTTAATATATGGCATATACTGTATATGTGTTAAACTTTAAAATTAAATATCAAAATTTTTATGACGATCAATTAATTTTTTTTAAAAAATTGTAAAGTCTAAAATCGTGTTTATAAAAAAAATTTTTTTTGATATTTAGCTTTATGAAAAAACATATTCTTATCAAGTCATTACTTATTTCTTGGTTTTCTTTACGGTTAACCTAAAATTTCTCATTAATGTCCTTATTATAATTTATCAATCTCATACAGTGTCTCCTATCATACTTGGTGATTTCGAAGAAAATAAGAGTATCGAGAACTGGATTATGCGTGATGACCCACAGCATATTTAAACGTTGGAGAACTGGAATCACGCATGATGACCCGCAACATATTTGAACATCGGAAAGCAAATAATTGAGCGAGCTCAACTAGTCAACGAGTAAGTTTTCAAGTATTCAGTTTGTCTATACATCGCACTTTCTTCTTTTACTTTTACTCTAATTTTTATTACTTTGTTGGATCTAGGAAGCATGTTGGCAAGTAAGTCCCTTAGCAATTCCTTTTCCTTTTTCCTTTTTTTTTTTAGGACCAATGCGAAAGAGCCAGATAGGAAATCAGGTAACCAAGAAAACAAGCACTAATGATTCGATCATCACGTTATCAAAATTATAACACGAACCACATGCAAGGTAATCATTATTTTTAGATTTAGTAAAAAAATATAATGAAATTAAAAGAAATAATTTCTATTTTATAAGATTAAGTCTGAAATTTTTATGTTTATATTTGATTTTAATAATACTTTTAATTTTGTTTCATTATACTTAAAATTAATTAACATAATATATTTATAGTAACAACCTACAAATCAATAGTACAATAAAAGTGTTCCTAGATTTTCAAATACATGTTCTTAGTTTAATATCTACAAAAGGCAAAATATATAAATTTTATCTATATATAGGTTTATTAGTTTTCCTATATATGAAGTACTGTATCTAAATATCTAAATCTTAATTAAACAAAATTAAATTGCATAAAAATATAACTTTTAATTTTTTTAATATTTATAAATTGAAAACAGATCAAAACAAAAAAAATTATACAAGAAAAGATTTCTAATCTAGCTTTTATATAAACTTATAATTTCAATTAATATAACAAATTTTATAATATAAAAAACATTTTAGTTTGAAACTATTTCAATTTAACACTTGCTTAAAAAAATATTTTAATTAAAGAAAAAAAAAATCTAAAGTCACTAATAGTAATAACAAGTATAATATCTTTTTAATATTTTTAATAAAAAGTATCAAACAGATTATTTGAGTATTTTATTTAATTTTAATAATATCTTCTTTATAATAATATTAAAATTCAAATTTCTAATAATATTATTTAATATTAAATCAATATTGAATTTATTATAAGTTAATATAATAGATTACAATTTATATATTAAATTTATTATCTTTTTAAATTGTAATTCAAATTTTTAAAAATAAATTACAAAAAATATAATAATAAAAATTATCTACTTATATATTATTTTTAGAATATATTTTTTAATCAATCTAAAATTGTTTAAAACATATATTTGCAATACACTGTATATCTTTTGTTTATTTATTTATATTATATATAATTGTTATTCAATTCCATAATTAATTAATTAATTTTTAATAAATTTAATATAACTGAATTTTTAAATATAAAATAATTTGTATTAAAATTGTGTTAATTGTTACTTTAATAGTTAAATGTAAAAAATATTTATATTATAATTTAATAATTTGTTTTTATTATTTATAAAATTTTTTAAAAACAAACTATTATTATAACTTTATTAAAAAATAATTTTATATATTTAAGACCTATTTTTAATTTATGTTAATTTATTTTTTTTTAATTGCAAACAGGCATTAATTTATGTTAATTTATAAATTATAATATAATAAGTTTATATATATAATAGTGATCATATTTTTTTGAACAACTTTAAATGAGATTTAATTAATATGCAGTGATTAAAAAATTAAACTTTTTTTTTATTTAAAAATAAAAAACCAAGAGATTTTTTTATATAATTTTAAAAATTATTCATTTTTTCTTTTTTGCAATGATTGCTTCACATTATAATTACATCAATTATATTAAATTTTTTATAACCATTTTAGATATTTATTATTATTTTTTCTTCATATATATTGTTAAATTTTTTAAATTTTGTGGGTTTCTTTCTTTTACATTTCTTTTAATCAGTATTTACAGGTTCTTGATTAGGTTAAAATCAAACTATTGAATGGTTAGTCCATTATAATAAGCATATTTTTTTTGAAAAAACTTTTTGTTTTGCAGCTTGTGTACTTATGATCATTATCCTGCTGCAGCTGCCAATTGTTTCTTATTATTTTTTTGATCTTGGGAAGTTATTCTTCAATGATTTTAATGAAAAAATCAGCATCCATGTTATCAGTAAAACAGTAAAGATTTGTTTTTCTACGGATTAAAAATTCACCTCACAAATGAATTTTTTGCCTGTTTTTAGGAACATTTAGTATTGATCTAGAATGCTTATACCACCATGTGATCATGTTCCAGAACAGTTGGAATGATGTTTCGTTTGAAAATAAAGTCTGAAACCAGTTATCATAAAGGTGTTTTTTAGCACATTCTATTCTATTCTTTTTTTGCTTAAGTGTTAGTATTGAAACTGCAAGTGGAATAGAATTTTTGTAACTGTACTTAACAAGATACTTCCAAACTGTGTGCCTAGAAACCATAATACCCTGTTCTGAAAGTTTGCGGGCTATACGAAATGTAGAAGCCATTAGATTATGCTGAATATACTGACTTATGACCCTCGAAATATGGTTGTTTATTTTATTTGTTCTTTTTGCACCTGGTTTTTGCCCCAAATTGTCTATCTTTGTCAACTTTTTATTGAGAATGAACTAACGACGATGCTATAGTTTATGGATTGCCCTCAGAACCGCATGAAATTGGTATCAGTGCGATTTCCCAAGAAATAATGGATGCTTGTAGAAATGTTAAGTGGACCTCTGCTCGGATTTTTAGTTTTGGGTCAACTCGTAAGTATCATTCGTTAATTCCCTTTACTTTTTACTTATTAAATACTAATTTTAATTGCTAAAGGGATTTTTGCTGACCGTTCTCCAAAAGAGGCTGGCAATTCATTTCGTCCGAAAAAAACCAGAAGTAGCATATCCCAACGGGATTGATAAAGAGGTACCTTGTGTTTTTTCCATTGAACCCTTTAAAGCTGGTATTTCATATTATACCTTTATTTTTAGACTCGCCCATGACCAAATCTGGTTATCGAAGTTGCTTATTCCGAGACAATAGACCACGTTACGTTACAGACAAAGTGAAGAACTACTGGCTGCAACCTGGCCGTGCTCATGATGCTATTGTTATAAAAATTGATCCAGTCCCTCACAGTCAAATAGTAAGTCGTGTTTTTATAGTTTAGCATCTTATTATTTGTATAATATTCCAAAATTTTTAATTCGTTGCAGGCATGACATTATTGTGTTTCGGATAGAAGAACGAGATCTTTATTTCCTGCCAGAATTACAGTATGGTATACTACACTGATGTTCTTTTTGGCTAATATCAAAACTTCTAATTTTATAATGGATAATTAATTTGAATTCGGCACAGTTGATGGGAATGGAACTCCTTTGACTTTTCCACAAACTGCACGTGTGATAAACATTGCATTGAATTGTTTCTACCACGATGTACATCTTTTTATCGCGATTCCTCAGGGTCTAGTTCCTGATCCTATCACAGTCGACTTATTTTTAATTCGAGACGCAATTACCGAAGCACTTACGCCAGTAGTATAAAGTAAAATATCAACCATTGATTTTAGGAAAGTGAAAAGTGATGATTACCATCTTCACCTCATTGTCACATTCTCGCACTGTCCACTCATGAGTTCTTGCCCAGATATAAATAGCTATTATGCCTATATTAAATATATTATTTGCATGACACGAAACCTTATTCACATGAATTTAAATTTTATGCCTGCATGATTAAAAGGTTTTGAATAAATGTACTTGCTATAAAAAGAATGTCAGACACTCGATCCAAAAATCGATTCGTTGAAAGAATTAATTTCGAAGCTCTTGACTGAGATTTCTGAGCGTAGAAAGGAGAATGCTGAGGTCAAGGCCGAGAATACAAAATTGAAACAAGCTATAGAAGAAAATACCAAGCTCAGGATTAAATTCGAGGAACTAGAAAACAAAAATAAAATTCATACCAGCAATCTTATAGTTGAGAATGTTGAGCTTAGAGATAGAGTCACGAAATTGGAAAGGCACAGAATGATACCGTACACGTATTAGAAGATTATATTGTCCACGATTCATCATTTGATATTTCTTCTAATATTCACATACATTCGCCGAGAATTTCTGGATTTGAAATTAAGGAAAGAGTTAGTAACAAGATAAATCAACGCAATAGGGAGGAGAAGCTTTAACGTGAATCAGCTGAAGATCGATCCTAGAACTTAATTTCAGATACTTCTATCTCTCCCGAAAAAATTCCGTCACGAGCTTACGTGACGATAAAACTATGGAACCCGATGAAATTGAATCCACTAAAAGTCAGTATGCGGAACAAGGATTAATAAAAGAATTGTTCAGTACCCCATCATATCGTCAGTTATAATCCCAGATTATCGATCATTTCAATTCACAACACAAAGCTTAGTCTGTTTATTTTATTATGCGTTAGATCTAGACATGAAGGAATTTTAGCTGGTACAATTAATTACTCGGATAATTTTGAAAATTGAGTTATCGAGATTTAGGAGTTACAGATAAAAAGGCTAGAATACAATTACTGTATACAAGGAAATGTTGGAGCATTTACCTCGTATTACGTAACTTTAAATATGAAAACTCATGTATGCGTTATTTTTCGTGATGTCCATACTTTCGTCAAGAAATTTTCTTTTTTGATTAAAATTTATAATAAGAAATAAACTAGATTAACGCTATTTTCTTCTATACTAAGTTTCCAACCCGTTTCCTATTTCCGAATATATTACCCACCAACATATACATCGCTACAATGATATTGAGAAATTTGCTAGTTTACATTCAATACTACATCTTGTAATTCCCATAAGTCCAAATAAAACCCATTAATTGCTCTACCAATAGGAGAACTGTTGAAAAGTTCAACAGCAGGAATATGCAATCAATAAATTTTGGTTTGTACGTAGGTAGCGCAGTGCAAGCATTGCCCTTGTACCGTCCTGACGAATGGGGAACAGTTTGATTGCAAGGTGATTTGAATAGTCGTTCGTGGAGAAAAATAATATGTCGAAAGACTATGTAAACTGGGAAGAGATTCGCTGTTGCCAACTTCAACAACCATAGTTGGATATGCTCCCCCATCTGAGTTAAGTTCCTGGCCAGCTGGCGATGGAGGAAGGTCTAATGGTCGGAAGGTAACATCAGCAGTTAAGTAACTACTTTGAGACACAATAAGATCCTCCCTAGTTATGCTAAATAATTGATGATTCCAGGTACGGATCAAGAAAGTGATCATGCCTGACACCTTTCCATGGTTCGCGAGAGGCACTTCATAAGCTACGACTTTCCCATCGACAAAACGAATATTGACAGGAAGCTTTTGCACAGTTTTACAAAACTTGATGTAGGCTTCGAGTGACACATTTCCAGCAATAATTATTTGCTCTATATCCTCACTTGCCTCCATTTTTTCCTCTTGTTGAACCGCAAGTAAGCGATCCCTGGCTAAGTTAAGGAGCTCTTTGCGCAACCGAAGTAAGGTCGACTGCATATGGGAAGAAGTTGTGACAGTTGTTACAGTAGAACTAGAGCGGGTAAGCTGTAATAGCGGTCACAAAATCGTAATAATTATGGAATAATATCTGATCGCGTTGTGGATCTCAATTACGAGAACGAGCAATATTTACAAAGTAAAGCCATTTGTTTTTTTTTATATATATGAGAAAGGGCAGGCTGGCTAATTAAAAAATGAAAGTAAAGAATAATTGAATAACAGGATGTTTCAAGGGAGGAATTTGCCGAGCCCTAACCCATGTAATGGTAGTTCCTTTCCCGCTACTCTACTTTACTGTCAATCCAAGCACCTATTTTGTTAGTACTTCCCTTCGTTCTTGTTTTGTGAGGTGACATGCTACACGTGCCATAAAAAATAAAGGTTTCTAAGTACATACAGTATATATCGCGTTAATATTATCCTTGAATATTATTGACGTAATTAACGTAATACATATAGTTTATGGTTTAATAAGTTTATGTCAAAGAGACTAAGAGTGAAGTTGAAAGCCGAGAAATATTAATACGACATTGTATATCTTAACTTTTAACTTTATTTCTTGTCGATACATACTTTTATTTTGGGGAACATAGTAAATAGGTGAAATAGGTGAATAGGATTCCAAATTTGAAATAGCTCAATTGACTGTGAACTAACGCTCTAATTAGTTATGGGTCCATACTTGTTTTGACCAAGTTACTTTTTGAATTTAGATGCTGCTTGCGCGTTTTCAATTATCTCTTTAATATTATTAACTGTGCCGATTTAATAGTCTTAATGCTACCTTTAATAAAAAATCACTGTTCACGACTGACGTATAATATGGGAGCCAATCAAAATTGCTTAAGACGCATGATCCTGCACAAGTGCTGTAGGTGAGAATACAAGTGCATCAAATAAAGGAATTTGCGCGACGACGTCTATGATTGGCTGACCATTTGCATATATATAGCATAATTTTTCTCCTCTTTTTCGTTATTATCAGAATGGTATTATTTTGTGTGTTGTTCTTGACTTTGAATGACTCTTTGACAAATGAATGATGTAATGATCTTTCATCTAGTCCGGAAAAACCGAGAGACCGGAGCTACCATCCGTCTCCATCGTGTTCTTTATGTATTATCTGGTAAGTATTTTTGTTTTCTCTTCCGATTGATTATAATTATGAATGAGTCGCGAATTTCACTTATAATTCTTTAGGTTCAAAATAGGCCGGTTATGAGCGAAGACGCGGCCGTTGACTATCTGGAAAAATTGCAGCGTGTGCTGGTTCGTATCATTGTTTTTCATAATTATTTACCTTTTACTTTTGGATTTTACGGTCTTATAATAATCTTGTTTTGAAGAATTTATTTGATCATGTATTTTACGTGAAATTGTGGATGGCGGCTTTAACTGGCCTCGCAGAAGAACCTGTCGAAGCTAATTCGACGGGTCATTACCTTCTGTGGAAAAGTTTCGTCTTAGTTAAGGTAATTTGACTCTTATTTTTGATTCGTCACGATCAAATAAGTTATTCGTGATTTTTTTCATCTACAAAATGGGTCACTAGTTACCAACATTAATCGAAAAACTGGAAGAAAGAAAGTCATCTCGACTTAGTCACAATGGAATATTGCCGTATGAACAATTTGAAGGATTAAAGGTAGTCGTATACCCGGATCATGTTGACCATAGGATTTATCGTGACACCATAATTTTATTAAACGTTTTTAGGTTACTTTAATTGTTCTAGTATAGCTGTCACGAATGTGTCATCAATCAATTATTCGGATTCCATGGACTTTTCAGTGCATGCAATCAGCATTTCGAAGAGACAATTGATGTTATTTTTCAGTATGTTTTCTTGATAATAAAGTAATCACAGCATCATTGTATCTGACTTGAATTCACAGAAAATTTCTCACCAAGGGCTCCCGACGTATCGGTAGACATCTTGAAAGTATGCCTGAAAAAGAACTTGGTTCGGCGTGAATTTGTCCTAAGATTGTTCGAAGACCGCTCGATAGAGCTCTGGAGTGGATCAGACTCTACTGTTTGTGAAAATTTCTGTTAGCAAAATAGATAAACTCGGTTGATACTCATGAATTTATAATAAAGAGCATTGTTACTTTAATGATATAGGACTCGGATGCTTTTACCGTTAATATCCTAGACGACCCTAGTAGTCAGAATATAGATCACCTGATATCCACAAGTTCCATGCATCAAGAGTCACGAGTGACGACAATATTAAAGGTGGATGCCGACTACTTTAAAATTATTTCCCTTTAACCATCAATTAACAGTTATATGCTGTTTAGCTAGTGACAACGTGGAGCGCGAATAAGGAATTAAAACCCCTAGCAATCCTTTGTCGCTCTATTAATGAAAATCCTTCGCTCCTTGATATCATTCATCTGTATCGACACCCCTCTGAGTTTTTGGGACCTTTGGAGAAATTATGTAATGCATGGGAAAAGTTGACGAACGACAACAGTATTGGTGGGTGAGAATTATTTGTTAAATCATTAAAAACTTTGCCTGATCATAATCTAACTTCAAGCTGTCATTAGAATCATATATTCAAGACTACGAAAACTTTGGAATAATATTTTTACTGTTGGTTAGCATTATAGATCGTTATGAGGTAAATTTTTCAAGTACATTCTCAGGATAGTTACCCTCTGACCACTACTGAGAGGTCAATTTTCCTTAACACAGTTTCACAAGAATCTTAAAGACGTATTGCGTGATGAGAACGGATTCTGTCATACATGGATTCTTCAATCGTCAGTTGCATATGAACACGAAATGCTCGATCCCGAGAAACTCGCGATTGTGGAGCCTTGGGTTAATGCATTATTATCATATCAAAACATTACCGATCAGATTATCAGGTTCGATCGCATATTATATTAAAAGTTAATTCTATTGTGAAAATCATGCCGCGTCTGTAATTCTTAAAATTTATATACTTTAGAACGACCAATCCTCGAGTGTTGATTGAGCTGGCTCCCACAATATTCAAAACAACATTCAAGATGTGGAGTGACGAGACATTTTCAAATTTAGAAATTTTCTTAAATCCTCATACGTCATACGCATTAATCGGAGTTGTTCAGTGGTTATGCGATGATATTTGTTTCAAAGGGTATTTGATCTTAAGTGGCCTTGGTTGCTTTTTTTTTTTCGTTTTCCAACTCTAAAAAGATGCAATCGCATTGTAGACAAAATTCGTTGTCATCAAAAATTCTCAAAATTTTGATGTCAAACGTCAATTTTCCTCAGCCGATCATAAGATTAATGGGAGAAAAATTATTATCAATCTTTGATCGACCAACAGGCAGTTTGCCATCTGTAGAGGACGACGAAACCATTAATGAACTCAAAATTGCAGCCCTAACTCTTGAGCCAAGTAAATATTATTCTTATTTGGCATAGTTGAATGAAACGACAGAGCAATTTTTGTCGACCTTTTCAATTTCCAGGTTGGACAGTATCAAAGCATCCTTCAGAAACATTATTTTCACGGTTTAAAATTATGTTTAAGTCAATTGTCTATTGCGGTCGCCAGAGAAAATCGACGTTGAACATTGACTACGAGTACGAATCGCTCCAGGCCGATCTATCTTCAGATTTATCTTGGTGGGGTCCACACCACCTGGACACGGATTTGTTCAGAGCATGTCTTGAGATTCACGGTCCAAAGATATTTGTAGGTCTGATCGTTGAAGTTTGTATCATAAATTTTTTTGTTTTTTCAATGTCATGCTTACATGCTATACCTAACGCGATTTTCGTGTAATGCGACCATAATTCATTATACTAATAATAATTAACTTTATTTATTTTATTTAAGGAAATACTTTCGGCTGGTGAAAAGGGAACAGGATTGCGAGCAGGTGATTTAAACTTTCAATTCTCGTTTTAAATTTTTTTTTTTTTAAGAAAAAATTCTGAAGACGATGTGCATTGCATACTTTGTGAAAAGCTGAACTCGGAGCTTCCCTTATTACACTTCCTTTATGTTATACTTGGAATGCATACTTACAGCCCCCTAACCTTATCCACATATTATTTACGGAGGTGCTACCACGTGCTCTTGAAAAAAAAATTACAATGTATTCACAAGGTCGTGCGTTGGGGTTTCTTACCTTTTTCGTATTGATGACTTCGGATAGGGATTCTTGTGCGTTTGGCAAAAGGAAAGCACATGAAGATTTTGTGGAATGTATTTTGCCGAAATCAAAAGTAAAAGGAAATGAATACAGAAATGGAAAGAGCATGGATGAGACTAAAGAGTCAAAAGAAGTATGGAAGCCTTTGACCAACGGACCTGCAAGAGGGTTTATTGATGGTTTGATATCACATAATGATATAGGCGACAAATTTCCGGAGCTTGCGTTAAAAAAGTTTTTAATTAGTTTGGGGGTGATTGATTATGACCAAGGATTACCCGAATAATTCTAATCTAATGTAAAATCATCTCACGTTTTATTTTGATCGAGTGATAAAATAGAAATTATCGTTTATACTCAATTCTGTCTTCCATGTGCTTTAACTTAAAGCTACAATTCAATTGTTAACATTGCGGAATAAGCTAGACTACGAAAGAAGTGTCTTTAAGTCATGTACAAACAGTATTTACATCAAATATTGAATTCTAATAAGTTTTTTTTTTAATGACATGTGAAGAAGAATCAATCATCTCAACAGTCTACATGCGTCAACTTTTCTTATTAGAATACCATATAGTGTGACATCATTTTCGCTTGGTGAAATCCAGTATTTGTTATTGTGTATCTTGGATTCTACTAGAGTTTCAGAGTCCACCAAATTCTGAAATAATATTTGAAATTTGGCGCCGTTATGTGTAAATATTTTTGCGTAAGAAGAAGCAACTTTAATATCAGGCGTGGTGTAAATTCCTTGGTCAAAGTTAAATCGATATTTTCTACTCGCCAAGTATCCGTCATCTGCGATCGAATGGTGATGAAAATTTTCCGTTCCGTGATACGAGATTTTCCATTTTCTTTTTCCTTTGCTATCATGAATTTCAACTTCTTGTCCTTCATTAAGATTATCGATAATGTCTGAGTCATTTTGCGCGTGAGGCAATTCCAGTGAGATCTTTCTCCATCCGCAGAGCTCTTTATTAACCTTATCTCGCATGACGGTCAAACCATTACTACGAAACTCCTTGTTGAAATAAATATGTCTTTCAAAGTTCGTGAAGTCCGCGTTGATGAATTTAATGGTCTCAAAATCGTCTTGTGAATGAATTTCCAAATATATTATGCTGCCTGCTTTAATGTCATATGATCCAAGGCACTCATCATTTAACAATTTTCGACCATTGAATATAAGTTGTTGAAGACGAAGTGCAACACCTTTGGCGTCTCGAATTTTCCTCTTTAGTTCATACACGGTGCTTCTGGTGTTTATTTCTGTTATGAGAAGTTCTTGGTTTGTCAAGGTATGCACGATGACCTCGTACGGTGAAGATGGGATGGAAGACGAGTTGTTCTCGACGTGAGTCGCCACTGGACCACCAACCAGACGTGATTTGTAAAAAGCATTAAAATCGAGTTGTTCATATACCCGTACATCCGCTTGATCGCGTCCTAAGTAATCATAATAGGTCACCACTAAAGATTTTGTCATGGCGGATACGGCCGAAGCGATTAGAGAAGCTGTATCATAGGGAATGTTTACTTTCGGTTCATCAACCGGAGGTGAAGGTATTTCTATCACAGGCACATCATCATATTCTTTGTATTGTGACCATTGTTCTATTTCCACAAACACCAAAAGTCCCAAGAATGATGAACATAATGCAATGCACATTAACAATAATAGTTTACTCTCGTTCATTTTTTTTTTTCTTTAGAAAAATTTTCTTGGTTCACCCACTCCGCAAAAGCACGGCACGTAAGGAAATTCGTTAACTTCACATTGCAAGCGTGTATTTATATGTATGCTAATATGGATATGGTCTATCACCACTAAATCAAGAACGTCTGTCTGTAGATCGTTGAACCAATATTCTCAGACGAAGTTACAATTACCTGAATTAAAAATTCCCCCATTCTAGGTTTTTATATTGGATTTGCTTTTGCGACCAATAAAAACATGCGTAAATCTCCTGTTATGATGCAGGATCGGTTGGACAACTTCAAGGTTCATAATCTTAATTTCCCTCAACTATTATTCTCACTAAAAAGACGTACGCATGTCAGCATATAACGTGTCCTGATTCTATCACGAAAACGATTTAATAGGAAATTAACGGTGATACTATGAACTGTAAAAAATCTTTTGGCTCTAAATTCATCCTACTGCGAATTCCCATCTGAATTTACGTAATAAAGGCACAATACCCGCAAGAAAGGGTGGTAATGAATGACATTTTTTGAAATGCTTAACAAATGACTATTTGCTCATTTCCCACGATACGATTTTAGACTGAGACTCCCATTTTTCAGGTACAACTCTTTGGGGTCACAAGGCTAACCATTTGCCAAACGTACAGTACAACGGGAATGTCGAAAATCATTGGACCATCACCATGGCACTTTTATCAATTATATAATATACTATTTTGTATCCAGTAGAAAAGTTATTGCGTATTTCAAATTTCAAATTATTCTATTGAAAAAATAGGAATCAATGTACAAAAAAACCATAATCAGTTATTGAATTATAAATTCTATAATCCTAATCCTATTAATATTTTTAAATTCTTTCTGTATTTTATTTAATAATATACAGTACAATACACTGTATTTAAATAACTTAAATTTCGATAACTTATTAAAAAAAAAATATATTTTTATTGATACAAATTTCTCTTTTTATATCAAATACTATAATTATAATTTATAATTGAATCTCAATTGTAAGTTTGATATACGTATAAATTAATTTTTAATTTTAAAAAAAATAACACGGTGTTATTGTTGTTGCTTTGATTAATATTTTTTTAAAAAATTACTTTAAAACAAAATTTTTTTATATAATGCAAATAGTTTTTAAAAAACATTATTTTATATTAATTTGTTTTTTTAACTTCCATCAATTATAAATAAATAAAATTATTTTTAAAATAAAAAATATATCAATAAAATTTTTAAAATAAATAAAAATTCTTTTTAATGATTTTTAATAATTTATTTTTAATACGGTATGATATTTTTTAATAATTGTAAATTTAACATAAAAATTATTACAAATCATCAAAAAGATTTTTTTTTTATTAATAATAATCTTAATTGATAATTCAAAAATATAAATTTTTTAAATAATAATTATTATTAATTTTGATATTTAAGACATAAATATAAACTATTAAAAAATTTAAATTTGAAAAATATTTGTATTTATGTTTTATATAAAAAAGACAATTGTATTTTAAAAGATAATTATTTAATAAAAAATTTTTTATCAAAAATAATAAATAAAAAATTGATTTGTTTTTTTTTTTTTAAATTTTAATATTATAATTTATTAAATAAAAATATTGTATATTTAACTTTAACAAAGAAAACTTATTTCATGCATAAACTTGTTTTATACGAATCCTCTGTTATAAAAATTTCATGTTTTACAATCTTTCTTATCCTTGCAATACACAATTTATTATGTAGCTACAAACTTATCAAGTTTCGAATTTCTGCTTTGACACTTGACCTTTTCATTGTCGTTTTTTTACTCATTTTTTTTCTGTTTTCGTTTATCCTCCTTTGCTTATGAAAAAAAAATTTAATGCTACTCGATTGACATTCATGCAGGTGCTTATTTAATGAAATATTGTGCCGAATTTGTTATAAATTACGTCAAGACATGCATGATGTTTAGTAAAATGTCTTTCTTAGACGAGAATAATAAAAATAGAGAATGGTTAGAACATGCAATCAAAAATCGTTATATTAGATCATTTGACTATAGCTTATTTGATCAATGTCAGTTTATTGCAAATGGGGGTTTTGGGAGAGTCGAAAAAGCATACTTAAAGAGCATGAGAAAAACCGTAGTCTTAAAAAGCTTATTTGATAATGTTAAAAGGGAAAAAAATTTTTATAAATCGTTTGTGAGCGAGGTATTGTTTATTTCTATCTACATATCCCTTTTTTAACTAGATATATAGTATAACCAATGATTGAATTATCCATTTCATTAATAGCTAAGAAACATTAGCGTTATTGACAGTGACAATGTTATAAGATTCTTGGGTATTAGTCACGGTAATGTACTAATAATAATCTTAAATAATTAATATATCGATTATATTATACTTATTTTTATATTTTTATATTATTAGACACTAAAGCGGATATTTATTTTTTGGTATTCCAATACGCAAATGGAGGAAATCTTCGAGATTATTTACGTGGCTTGCATGAACAAGGTCGTTTTTCGGAACTTGATTGGCCAAGAAAAATTGAAATGGCAAAAGATATTGCTAGTGGTCTATATTGCATACACGCTGTAGATGTAATTCACCGAGATCTAGTAAGTGGATATGAATATAATATTTATTTTATGTCAATACGGATTTCTACTAAATATAAAGCTTAAAAACCTAGAATTCTAAGAATGTCTTAATACATGATAATCGATTAATGATTTCAGACTTTGGACTATCTAAGTCTCAGGAAAATCTAACGTCCATTTCAGGATGCGCACCACACGTTTACTGTGACCCACAGTTTCTAAATAACTCCTCTTATAAACGCGATAAGTCTTCTGATATCTATAGTTTAGGTCTTCTTTACTGGGAAGTATCATGTGGAAAACCTCCATATACTCAAATCAGCTTAATAGACATTATTAAAGAAAAAAGAGAAGAACCTATTGATGGCACCCCATTAGATTATATAGAAATTTATTCCAGTGCATGGAGAAATGATCCTAATCAACGTCCTACAATCGAACAAGTCTTAGATTACCTCGAAAATATAAAATTACAACCTGTATATCAAACAAAGACAAATTTTGACAAAATTCCTATTAGTTATACTTTACACTCGTCTGAAGATGAAAGTATGACAATTGATAGTATAGGTAAGATCATTCATAACCCATTTCACAATTACAAGAAAGTCTAATTTAATTTCTCAAACTTTACAATAGAAGATTTTACATCTTTTCAAATTAGCAATGCCTCTTTCGAAAATCAAATAAGCATTAAAACTGGTATGTAAATTTTTTATAATATAATCGATACCGATTAATAAAAAAAATAACCATTAAGTAATTAAATATTTCAATTTTAGTGACGATGGTTATGAATGATATTCTTGATATTGAAAATAAACGGGAAGAGATTCGGTCATACTTTTTGTCAGGGGAATATATCAGATCATTAGAACTTTGGAAAGTTATCCTCATTGATCCCAAACATACATCAGAAGATAGAAATAATGCTTCAAAATGGGATCTATCCAATGGTAAATTAAGAGACCCAACAGAAAAAGCAATGGCTGAGGTTCTATGCAAGAATACCATCCTGACGGAATTAAATATAGTGAATAACAAAATAGGAGAATCAGCAGGAAAAGCACTTGCTGAAGCTCTATGCAAGAATACCACCCTGACTAAGTTATATATGGATTCGAGTGGTATAGGAGAATCGGCAGGAAAAGCACTTGCTGAGGCTCTATGCAAAAATACCACCCTGACGGAATTAAGTATAACCGATAACAATATAGGAGAGTCGGCAGGAAAAGCACTTACTGAGGCTCTATGCAAGAATACCACTCTGACTAAGTTATGTATGGGTTGGAATGATATAGGAGCATCGGCAGGAAAAGCACTTGCTAAGGCTCTATGCAAGAATACCACTCTGACTAAGTTATATATGGATTGGAATGGTATAGGAGAATCGGCAGGAAAAGCACTTTCTGAGGCTCTATGCAAGAATACCACTCTGACTAAGTTATATATGGGTTGGAATGATATAGGGGAATCGGCAGGAAAAGCACTTGCTGAGGCTCTATGCAAGAATACCACCCTGACGGAATTAAATATAAACGACAACAATATAGGAGAATCGGCAGGAAAAGCACTTTCTGAGGCTCTATGCAAGAATACCACTCTGACTAAGTTATATATGAATTGGAATGGCATAGGAGAATCGGCAGGAAAAGCACTTGCTGAGGCTCTATGCAAGAATACCACCCTGACGGAATTTGATATAGGGTACAACAAAATAGGAGAATCGGCAGGAAAAGCACTTGCTGAGGCTCTATGCAAGAATAACACCCTGACAGAATTAAATATAGGGGGTAACAAAATAGGAGAATCGGCAGGAAAAGCACTTGCTGAGGCTCTATGCAAGAATACCACCCTGGCGGAATTAAATATGTGTTCGAATAGTATAGGAGAATCGGCAGGAAAAGCACTTGCTGAGGCTCTATGCAAGAATACTACCTTGAAATATTTATTTATTAGTAAAAATGATTTAGGCTACGAAGATATTGGTGAAATTCGAAATAGAATATATATATTATAACATATCTATCATATGGGTAATTATTTTTGAAGGCGACAAAAATGCTAGATAGAATTTTTCGGACTCAACTTTTAAACAATACATATATAGTATAAATTTTAGGACCACATCAGAAAATTTCCGGTCCGCCTTCGAAAATAATTACCCATATTGATAATAAACATTAATTTTTATATATTTAATGTTAAGCGTATAATGAAAATTTTTATTTTACAGCACCATTAATTAATTTTCAGGCTTATTATATTTAAGTTTATGATATTATAACTTAACATTGGTTATATAAGTATTTTTTAAAAAAATTTACAAATTAAAACTTAAAAATTTTTTAAACAATTGATTTTAAATTAATTAAAAAATT